CTAAACACTGTACGTCTTAATCTGCACCGTCCGACACACACACACACACACACACACACACACACACACACACACACACACACACACACATACATTATTGACTTTACGACTTATATAACAACTCTATCACAAGTTACTTAAGAGCGCAGAAGACCAAAAAAAAAAATAATTGTTAAGTAATAATGATGTTTGATGTTCTTATATACGAGATGGTGTGAGGAACGAGGGGTATTGGAGTGGGAAGCACGCACACACACACACGCACGCACACGCACGCACACACACACACATATATATATATATATATATCTGTAAATGGAGAGAACTTCCTTATACCTGCTGCTTGCCTGCAGACCCTCCTCACCCCCAACACTGCCTACAGCTGACGCTAATTACTAAATAGGTAGACGAGAGAGAGAGAGAGAGACGGTTAGATAATAGATAGATTGATAGAAATATATAGATAGATATAGATATTTAATCAGTAAAATCGTTATGTAAGTTCACGTTGGTTCAACATATACATAAAGCGGTAAACAAACTCAACCTAACCTAACCCAACCTAATCAAACCTAACTCACTCCTAACCTAAACTAACTCGAGCGTAACCTAACAAACTCTAACCTAACCCAACCTAACTCTAACCAAGTGAACAATAACATCTGAATTAAAATCCCAACTTATGGTGACAAAAAAAACCCGAACGAACGAACCATTAAGACACGTTCGCCATCAGCCTCCAGGTCGTCTTCAGAGTGGGATCAATGGCGCGAAAATCACATCCAATACCTTTTTTCAGTCGAGTTGATGGCTTCTGGGACCCTTTATGATTATTGTGAGGTTGGTTATTATAGAAGCGAGAGTCACCACCAGCAGGAGTAACACCACTAGTAGGAGTCTTATGATAGGGTTCCTGAAGGGTGATTTTGCCTTTTTCAAGCTTCGGGTGGCGGGTGTCGATAGGGATCGTGTTTGACAATGGAAGCGAAGCGGTGACCCGTATACGGATTATTTCATGCATATAAATCCACTTCCCTCTTCTAATAACGCTTCGATAACCTCTCTTAAAACGATACCAAATTGAAGTAAATATCATAATCTTGCTTTAGGTGTTAGTGAGAATTGAGATAAAGGAAGAGAAGTAAGAGAAAAGAGGTGATAAAGAAGAGAGGTTGGCAGGATCCGGCAGGTGTGGGTAAAGACGTCACCAGCTGGAGTCCTCGAGGCAGCTCTACTGACCGGCATGAAATCAATGTTTACCTCTTCTTCCAGTGACCCGCGGATGAATGGTGGCCTGGAGTGTGAGGGAGGGTGGGAGAGGGAGTGACAGAAAGAGGGAGGAAGAAGGAAAGGAGGCTGTATGAGAAAGGGAGGGTGGAAGGGAGGGAGGGAGAGAGGCTGTATATGATAAAGGGAGAACGTACGTGTGTGTGTGTGTGTGTGTGTGTGTGTGTCAGATGGTGGCAATGAAATGAATGGCTGGCAGGAGAGAGAGAGAGAGAGAGAGAGAGAGAGAGAGAGAGAGAGAGAGAGAGAGAGAGAGAGGTTTATCGAGGCTCACTAATAATAATAACAAAAACAACACAAACAAACACACACATACAGGCTGAGCAGTTGTCACCCCGCAGAGTAAAAATAGGCCAGAAATACACAAATGGGGACGTTAATAGGTCCAGCTGCCAGTTAGTGAACGTGTAAAATTGAAGGCACCGGACCCCCTGGCGTTAACGAGAGCGAACAAGGGTGTCAGTGGACGATGGGTGATTAGTGTGACGCGAACTAGGTTGTTCCCACCCCCACTCACTAATTACCTCTCCTCGGGTCATTACTGCCAGATGAGAGAGAGAGAGAGAGAGAGAGAGAGAGAGAGAGAGAGAGAGAGAGAGAGAGACGGTCTAGGTGAAGTGGTCTAAGTGAAGTAGTCTAAGTGAAGTGGTCTAAGTGAAGCGGTCTAGGTGAAGCGGTCTGGTGAAGCAGTCTAATGAAGCTGTCTGGTGAAGCAGTCTAGGAAGATTTGTGTCTTAAGAAAATGAATGACCTGTCAAGCTTATAACACTTCCTAAATACTTTCACAACGTCTTAATTAAGTACCCACTACCACAGCAACTTGACGTACCCACCACCACAGCAACTTGACGTACCCACCACCACAGCAACTTGACGTACCCACCACCACAGCAACTTGACGTACCCACCACCACAGCAACTTGACGTACCCACCACCACAGCAACTTGACGTACCCACTTCAAGATCACCAACACTTAACGAGTATGAAGAGTTATTGAGAGAGAGAGAGAGAGAGAGAATGAAGAGAAGAAGTAATGAATAACGAGGAAGGAGAGAGGAGAAATGATAGAGGGAGAAGGGGAAAAAGAGCGGAGGGAAGGAAGATAGGGAGAAGAAAGGAAGGAGGGAAGGACTGGAGGGAAGGAGGGAAGGACTGGAGGGAAGTAGGGAGGGACTGGAGGAGGACTGTGGTCGTGGGTAGACATAAAGGACTATTAGAGAGTGTGAACAGGGAGACAGTCTAGCCACTCCCAAGGTTGAGACAGATTTACAAGCCGGTGATAGATGACCCTCCCTCCCTCTCCCTTGCCCTCTTTTACCTCCCTCTCACTTCCTCCCCTTTCTTATTTCCCTCTCACAATCCTCTAAATATTTTAATACATCACATTAGGGGTTTCGTAAGGTGAGTAACGAGAGTGAGGGTGAGTGAACGAGTTACGTGAATGAACGAGTTACTAGAGATAAATTTGGGAATTATATTGAGGAACTCTGTAGTGGGCAAGAAGGTGTGGTCACTTCCCCCATTTTCTATGGTTAAGTGTACAATTTTCTATGGTTGGCGGACAAGTTGTCGGCGGTGACCACAGGCCTCAGTAGGTGGGTGGGTGGGGTGGGTAAGTGGGTGGGGTGGGTGGTGGTGTGTGGGCCAACTGATGGGACAGTTTCTCAAATGGGAGAGAAAAGTGTATTTTGAAACAGTGTGGTGAGACGCTACCCTGGTGAGTAATTATAGCAGGGGGGGGGGGGTACTGTACCATTATGTGCCCTACCCTCCTCCCTTCTGCCTACTGTATCCTCCCCTCCTCCTACTGTAGCCACTGTACCCACAAGAGGATAGAGGGAGTGCACCAATACAGTACAGAAAATATTTTGTACCCACACGAGGCCCTGCATTGATACAGAATAACTGTACCCACACAGGAAGTGTTAGACTACCCACATGAGTGAACTGTATCCACAAAGGGAAGCCGAGTTACTGTACCCATATGCAAGAGTACAGGAACTTAGTCTTACAGAGTAGAGGGTGGGTGTGTGGGTGTGTGTGTGTGGGGGTGTGTGTGTGTGTGTGTGTGTGTGCGTGTGTGTGTGTGTGTGTGTGTGTGGGTGTGTGTGTGGTGTGTGGTGTGTGTGTGTGTGTGTGTGTGTGCGTGTGTGTGCGTGTGTGTGTGGGTGTGTGTGTGTGTGCGTGTGTGTGTGTGTGTGCGTGGGTGTGTGTGTGTGTGTGTGTGTGTGGGGTGTGTGTGTGTGTGTGTGTGTGTGTGTGTGTGTGTGTGTGTGTGTGTGTGTGTGTGTGTGTGTGTGTGTGTGTGTGTGTGTGTGGTGTGGCGTGTGTGGGTGTGTGTGTGTGTGGGTGTGTGTGTGTGTGTGTGGGTGTGTGTGGGTGTGTGTAGCGTGTGTGGCAGGTGTGTGTGTGTGGGGGTGTGTGTGTGTGTGTGTGGTTCACTTTAATGGCTCCCTGTTTATGGCACCTCACATAATGGCGTCCTCTTGTCCTCACCGCTCACACCCGACCACGTTTTGTCTGTGCTGTATCCTAATGTATCCGGCCCAATGGCTTTACCCCCGCCCCGACGGCTGTACCCCCCGCCCCGACGGCTGTACCCCCTCCCCGACGGCTGTACCCCCTCCCCGACGGCTGTACACCCGCCCCGAAGCTTATACCACCAAAACCGTTTTATCAGAAATTACATGAAGATAGATAAGAAATTACCATTGAAATAAATATATTTGCCAACTAGACATAATCCTGACAGCTCTGTCCTCTTGTTCAACCTTAATACAACCCAAGTTGTACTGCTACCCTCCCTTATCATATTTACCCTGTATGTATATCAACTCCACTGTAAAGTATGTATATACTTATAATATATATATATCCTAGTGATAACCGTGGTAACATACTGATATGTTCTTATTACCACCATGCTATTGCACTATTCCAGATGATACTAAATGTTACATAATACTTCCTTGAGATAAATGTATAGTATATATCAGGTGCCTCAAAGAGAGCTCAGGTTATCAAATGGCTCAGCCTTGTTAATATTGTTATTATTATCCACTCTGTATCTGTGTTTTACTGGCTAAATAAACTACTTCAATATTAATATACACCCACCCCGACGCTTATACACCCACCCCGACGCCTATACACCCACCCCGACGCTTATACACCCTACCCCGACGCTTATACACCCACCCCGACGCCTATACACCCACCCCGACGCCTATACACCCACCCCACCCGCCCCGACGGCTGTACCGCCACTTTTACAGCTGTATCCTGTATCTTGCTGTATCCGGCTGGGCATGACCATTTGGACGGTTGAAAAATCCGTATCTTACTGAATCACGTTAACCACGACGCTAATAGAGTGGACAAAATGGCGGCTATGATAGACTGAGACTCTACCCGGGCTATAGAGTCACCCCGAGATACGCTTTACCTCATAAGTTAAATTTTCCTCACATGATAAATTTCCTTTATATCTATCAACATGTATCTAATATTAATATGTATGTATGTAGGTAGGTTAGGTTAGGTTAGGTTAGGTTAAGTTAGGTTCTCAATCTATCCTCCCCACCCCCGAGGACCAACTAACCCCCACTTTCTCCCTCCCACACCCCCCTGAGGACCACCTAAGCCCCCCCACTCTCTTCCTCCCCACACCCCCCTGAAGACCCACTAACCCCCACATTCCTCCCCCTCCAGGTACACCTACGCTCCCCTTTCATCATGAACGGCGTGTGTGTACGGTGGAGAGGCTACGTTGATCTTGAGCGACTTGATGGTGTGGGCTGTCTCGATTATGATGAGGATAATGCTGCTGTGAGTATTATTTGATGATGAGTATGATTGTTCTAAACCCCTTCAATATGATAGTTTAACCCTTGGAGTATGATGACTTAACCCCTTCAATAGGATGAGTTAACTCTTTAAGTATAAGAACATAATGATCTAACCCCTTGACTATGATGATTTAGCCCCTTGAATACGACGACTTAACCCCTTGAATACGACGACTTAACCCCTTGAATACGACGACTTAACTCCTTGAATACGACGACTTAACTCCTTGAATACGACGACTTAACTCCTTGAATACGACGACTTAACTCCTTGAATACGACGACTTAACTTCTTGAATACGACGACTTAACTCCTTGAATACGACGACTTAACTCCTTGAATACGACGACTCCTCTTATTCCTACGTTTATTCCTCTCCTCTTCCTCCGGCACCACCAGGAGGAGGACAGGATACTCAGAGAGGAGATCGAGAAGTACAAAGCTCGTCTTCGTGAATTTGAGGAGAAGCAGCGCGCCTTCCGTGTCCCCACCACCTCCCACGCCCATCCTCACGCCCACGCCCACACACACTCCGAGCAGGCAAACATACAAGTCCGCTAGCAGGTGAGTGTGTGTCTGTCATATAGTAGGTGAGTGTTTCCTAGTAGTAGTGAGTGTGTTAGTAGGGTGAAGGAGTTTGCTAGCAAGTGAGTTAGTTTGCTAGCAGGTGAGCCAGTGTACTAGCAGGTAAGTGAGTTAATCTCCTAGTATAAGCGAATCTATTATTAAATATCTTACTTGCACGTTAAAACTCACAAATTGTGGTCAACTAAAGATAACACTCACCTCCCGTCCAACGAGTCATTGGTTCGATCCTTGAGGGGGGGCACCCACAGTCGACCCATCTGTAAACGAGTACCAACCTTTTGTTATTGAGGAAATGGAGGAGATAGAGTGCAGTATTAGTGTGTGTGTGTGTGTGTGTGTGTGTGTGTGTGTGTGTGTGGTTTGATGATTTGATCTGTCTTTCAAATTTTTCATGTATTGTGATCCATTTTTTTTATATCTCCCTTAAATCTTCCCCCTCCCCGCTATCCTCCCTCACTATCTCTCCCTTCCTCCCCTCCTTGATTTTCTTATACCACCCTTCCTCCCTCTCCCTTGCTGACTCCTTCCCTCCTTCACTGACTCCTCCTTTCCCTTCCTCCCTGACTCCTTCCCATTCCTCCCTCCCTTACTCTCCCTTCCATAACCTCCCTTGATTCCAATGAACTAAGTCCCGCCTTTCTTCCTTTATTACAGATTCTTAGCCTCCTTCATAGAAAATCCTAACTACCAATTAGCAGGGAGCAGCTGTGTCGAGGCTGGTGGAGGGCTCAACTGTCTGGAATAACGGGGTCAAGACTGTCTGGAATAACGGGGTCAACAGTCTGGAATAACGGGATCAACAGTCTGGAATAACGGGGTCAAGTCGGAATTACGGGGTCAAGACTGTCTGGAATAACGGGGTCAACAGTCTAGAATAACGGGGTTAAGACTGTCTAGAACTGGGAATCAAAACTGTCTGGAACTGGGAATCAAGACTGTTTGGAATTAAGAGTGTTCAGAACCCCCCAACAGAAGCAACAGGTTCGAAATATTTACTCTTTCCCGTTAGTTTATAAACAGGAGGCAACAACAGTCTTGACCTCCACCATCGATTCTTCTGTTTACCGTTGATTCGCCACCAATCAGTAAGAAGACTATATTCTTGGTAATAACAGAAGCTCCACCCACTACCTACTTCCTGGCCAATCATAACCGTTGGTAATAACAGAAGCTCCACCCACTACCTACTTCCTGGCCAATCATAACCGTTGGTAATAACAGAAGCTCCACCCACTACCTACTTCCTGGCCAATCATAACCGTTGGTGATAACAGAAGCTCCACCCACTACCTAATTCCTGGCCAATCACAAGCATCGGTGATCCAGAAGCTCCACCAATCACCTTACATTTCGTGGCCAATAAGAAACAAAAACCACACACTAATTTTCGAAAATATAACGGAAATAACCGTCGCCTTGGCCAGCTGTACCAAACGACCCAACGGTAACTCCCAAACAAGATAATTGCGTAGTTAATAATGAAGAGGCTGATGACCGTGTACTTAATAAGAGAGACATTTATTGCAAGATTTGAAACAAAGAAATATTTGTAAGACAACTTAATTGATCTCCGCTAATAAAGAGATTTTTAATTAGTATGGATCACCTGATGATTAGACACCCCAGCTTATATCACCTTAAAATTAACCAACCTAATAACCCTAACCTAATAAACCCAACCTAACCAAACATAATCTAACCTAACTAACCTAACCTAACCAAACCTACCCCCCCCCCAGCCAGGTAATGTTAGGTTAGGTGTAATTAAGGTGATATAAGCTGGGGTGTGTAATCATCAGGTGGTTCCTTAGTGTTAACTCTACTAATATATCTGTATTATAAAACTGCCCAGATTAATTAATACTTTTATTAATAATAATATTTAAGAGAAACTCATTAATCCCTCAACTAATAACTTAAGTCTTGTATAGAAACAGATTTATTTCAGTGTGCCACCAAGTGTTCTGTTTGTCACTAGAGTTCTGTGCCCTCAACCCGTGTCCTCACCTGATATGACTTGTCGTGACCTGGCCTGACCTGTCGTGACCTGGCCTGACCTGTGTCGTGACCTGTGTCCTCACCTGATATGACTTGTCGTGACCTGGCCTGACCTGTCGTGACCTGTGTCCTGACCTCCGCACAGAACTTACTACCATGACCTAATATGGTTTCATCCTCACAAGCATAACACTAACTACCCCCCACTGCATAACAATGGAACTACCTAACGCGACTCTTAGCCTAGTGTACTACTAACCATTACCTGAAGCTGTAATTACCGTGAACCAGTCTTACTTCACTCCTAACAACCATGACAGTATCACTCACAACACGAGAACTAACTACCTTGACACTGACCTCTAACAAGCATAACACAAACGACCTAAGATACAATTACCCATAAAACTTCAACTAACTACCATGACCCAGGGTAATTGACCTGTAACAAGCATAACACAAACACGCTAAGGTGTAACTACCCGTAAAACATGAATTAACTACCATGACCAAGGGTAGTTGACCTCTAACAAGCATAACACTGATTCGCGGAACTCCCCCTCCCCTCCTCCTCCCCTCCAAATATATAAAACACGTTAAAAACTTGTAAAAAACCTAAAACGTGTTTCAAACTTGTATAAAACAACCCAACCCGTTAAGATAAGGTTCATTTTATTTTATTTTGGTGATGTTCTCTTAATAATGATGTTTGTTATGATGATGATGATGATGATGATGATGATGATGATGATGACAATGATGATGTATTAGTAGACGCCCCAAAAACCCATTGAGCTGACCCATACACCCATAACCACCACTACCACCACCACCACAATTGATACTGATTTAACTACTCAACTACCATGGTTTTAAGTGGTTTAACTCCTTGATGATGGGAAGTTAAAACAAAATGTCCTCAAAGGTTTATATAATTATTGTACAGTTAAACCAAAACTTTAAATTATTATTATTATTATTAACTTGGGTGTGTGGGTATATTTGTATCACTTAATTTGTCTGTTATTACTAATGTTATGGCTCTATCAGTGTGTGTGCGTGTCTGGGGTGATAGACAGATGGATAGACAGACACGTGGTGGTAGACAGACAGACAGATGGATAGACAGACACAGAGAGATACATGGACAGACAGAGATGGACAGACAGACAGAAAAACAGACAAATGGGTAGGTAGACAGACAGACAGACAGATAGATAGATAGATAGATAGATAGATAGATAGATAGACAGACAGACAGACAGACAGACAGACAGACGCTAAGTTGTGCAATACCGGCGTGCAGCATCAGACACAAACATCATCCATTGTTATATTTTTAAATTAAACCCCGAGGGAGGGAGAGGTGAGGGGGGGAGGGGGAGGAGGGGGGAAGTAAGGGGGAAGGATAGAAATTTTCCCTCATTTCTCCCCCCTCCCTCTTTCTCTCTCTCTCTCTCTCTCCTGTTACCTTCATTCTTCTTTCTGTTCTTTCTCTCATTCTAGACACAGAGGGAAAAACATTCTCCCCCTTCCCTCCCTCCCCCTCCCCCCAATTAAGCTAGACAACTGTTGTGTATATTTTGTAAAGCCTTTTGTTAGTGTTCTTGTGAGACGTATTTATGTGTATGAGTATATGTAGTAGAGTGTATAGCAAGTGTGTATGGTGTATAGCAAGAGTGTATGGTGTATAGAACAATCTGTATGAGTGTAAAATGTCGGTGCAGTGGTTGAGTGACTACAGAGCTCGCCTTTCTATTGAGGATCATTGGTTCGCACCCGGGGTATCCCTACTCCTGCACCCAGCTGTGAATAGACACCTAACTTTACACTTATGGAATTGAAGAGCTGTCAAGTGTAGAGTGAAGGTTTAGTAGTCAGTGTGCTGTATCCGCGCCGCCTCTAAATGGTCTCTTGTCAAGCTAGAGGTCCACCTTCAAGTATTAAGTAAGTACGTGTCGAGTCTATGTAAAGTAGGTCATGTAAGTGTTTGGAGAAAGTGTGTAGAACAGGGTGTAAAGTGAGTGTGTGTGTAAGGGTGTAGTGTGTGTGTGTGTGTGTGTGTGTGTGTGTGTGTGGTAGGGTGTAGTGTAGTGTGAGTGTAACAAAGTGTAGTGTGAGTCAGTGTAACAAGGTGTAGAGCAAGTGTAAAGCAATACTGTGTTAAGTAAGTGTAAGTGTATACATAATAAAGTGTTTTCATTAACTTAAATTGTATTTTTTTACTAACCACCTGATGATGATGATGATGATGACGACTACAGTGGGTCTATTAAGTCATTTTATACTAGTGATCACGGGAGAGTAACCACAACCCAAGAGGGACGTAACCCCCGTCCCTAAAAATTTCCCCTAAACAAAAAATCGAAAATACATACTGATAAAAAATTGAAAACTTTGGCCTCACTTAATATTCATCCTACGAACTGGTTAATTAAGAGTCGTATTTAACCTGTTGAGGTGTGAAGTACAAGTAAGAACAGCCTGATGAATCAACGCACACACACCTGACAACCATGCAACACACCTGAAGCACCTGAGACACCTGCAACACGTTAAGGTAAGATTCACCTTTCCACTGGCCTACTGAGGTGAACTTAAAAATGTATATATTGATAGTTACAGTTTTTAAATTATATTATTATTATTATTATTTGTAGTAGTAGTAGTAGTAGCAGCAGAAGTATTAGTAGTAGTACAAGTATTAGTTTTATACAATTAATATTATTACTATTATATATCTTCATTATTATTATTATTATTATTATCAACACTGTCAATAGTTGAAGTTTGTTACATAACCAACAATTACAAGATAGAGGTCGTTATCATCCCCGTCACGCCTCTATCCATCTATCTATCTATCTAGGTCAAACAATCTATTGTTTCAGATATTGCTTTATGAGGCTGTTTCCCAGGTAAGTATTTTGTTATGACTTAACCCCTTGAGTGTGATGTCTTGACTCATAATGCTCAAAGGGCTAAGTCATAATACACAAAGGGTTAAGTCACAGTACTCAAAGGGTTAAGTCACAGTACTCAAGGGGTTAAGTCACAGTACTCAAGGGGTTAAGTAACAGTACTAAAAGGGTTAAGTCACAGTACTCAAAGGGTTAAGTCACAGTACTCAAAGGGTTAAGTCACAGTACTCAAGGGGTTAATTCATCGTAGTTATATGACTAATTCAAATGACATCTTAACATCAAAACTCTACCATACTTTAAAACAAACCCTTACGAATAACACAAAACACCTCACCTGTAACACCTCGGAACGGGAAAAACCCCTCGATCGGTAACCACAAGTAACGTATATATAAAGAGATCATCCACAGCGTTATTTGTTAGTGTTACGAAAAATATAACGAGAGGAAGCAAGACTAAGCACCACCATGATTTTAATAACATGAGGAATGATGAAGGGGGGTGAGGAGGTGAGGAGGATGAGGGGGGAGGGGGTGGAGAATGATGAGGGGAGGGGTAGTTAATGATGAGGGGGGTGAAGAAATGATGAGGGGTGAGGGAACATTTTGAGGGGGGGGAGAAGAATGATGAGGGGAGGGGGGGTGAGGAAATGATGAGAGGGAGGGGCAAGAATGATGAGGGGAGGGTGAGGAATGATGAGGGGGAGGGGGGTGAATTAAATAATGGCGGTAATGGAACAAGATAAGTGAGGGTGTTTACGTCAGCGGGTTGGCGCCATTACTCCCCGGGTGATTCTTGGTATGTTTACAGGGAGAATGTGACGTCACTTCCGACCCACGCGTTCTGTGGCTCTTACTGCTGCTGACGTGTGTGTGGGTGTGGGTGGGTGTGTGTGGGTGGGTGTGTGTGTGTATGTGTGTGTGTGTGTATGAGTGGGTGTGTAGTGAATAAGTGTATGGCGTGAGTAAGCCGTATACACCACCACTACTCTCCAACATAAACCCAGGTATACAGTATGTCTATATTGACGGGAGCGACGCCTGCGGACATACAAGGTTATACACCGTTACATAACACCGTGATAGAGGCTAACCTAACCTATACAAGATGATGTTAAGTGTCCAGGACTTTACATACTTGTACAGTTATCAGCAGACAGTGAGAGCCTAACCTAACCCAACCACTGTGCCTAAACTAAACTAACCTAACCATACCAACCTAACCTAACCAAAATATTACATTAGGCGTACATTTTCCGGCACCAGCCAGTGTAATTAGGATAATGACCCTGTGTGCAGCCTGCATCTAGCGGTAGGTATGTATGTGTGTGTGTGTGTGTGTGTGTGTGTGTGCATGTATGTATGTATGTATGTATGTATGTTAACTATGTACATCCACCCTCACCTTCGTCACTACGTCATTATCAATTGCTGTACACATAAATATTGCACAGTAATTAAACAGCAGCAACACAAAGCTAACTAAAATCAATACGTGTATACATGATGGAACAGAGAGAGAAATGACCACTGACTGAGGACCCCCCCCATTCCTTCCTCTCTCTCACTGAGGAAAAAACGCCGGCATCGTCCCCCTCACCAGGATCTACACTGTGATTAGCTAAGGGGTGACAAGTATAGGCGGGGTTTAACAGCGTCCCCTCCCAACCGTCGCCAGACACCCCTGTGGTCACCCCCCCCCCGGCGGCCCAAGATGGTATCTCTCCCTACTGCAGCCAGACTACTTTACCAGATAGATGGACGGATAGATGGATAGATAGATGGATAGATATATATGGATAGATAGATGGATAGAATCAAGTTACATTGGATCACCAAGTTCCTAGAGAGTGTTGGTATATAATGTACGTTATTATACAGTGTAGGTATACAATATAATTAAACAGTATAGGTACACAAACAACGGACATAAACGGTACACACAGACCATAAACAGTAGTAAACAAACAGTACACAAACAGTGAGTTAAAACAGATCATCATGTCAGCTTCTGGTCTGACAAACACATCTATTTTGGTCAATGACTGAACCTTTAAGTGACGCTCCTACTTATCCCTCTCGAGTATTAGGTATCAAGGGGCACCTACCCTCTCCCCCCTCACCTCCTTCCCTCTCTGACAGCCGGCCATCTTAACCCACCAACCCTCCCCCCTCCCCTTCCTCATAACCCACCCAAGAGAGAGAGAGAGAGAGAGAGACAAAAAAATATATTTATGAGGCAAAAACTAGACAGTCGAGTCCCCCTTCCGTCTCTCAGCCAATCAGAGAGCATCATGTTCCAATAATATGCTCCCCTTATGCTCCCGATGGTCTGCCGTCGTCTTTAGAAAGGTCCCTGTCCCGCCTGTCAAAAAACCCATCAAGGCATTATCCCCCCCCCCCGTGTGAGACCGTCTTGTTGTTGACGGTAACCTGATACTTGGCTCTTGTATTGCTAAGGTTGTTGTATTCATTAACTGTTGTATTACTTAACTGTTGTATTAAATGGTTTAACTTAACTATGTGTCTTAAACTAATCTAACAACCTGAGGTGTTTTTAATGTAACCAAACTTTAAGTGTTAACTATATACTGTATGTGTTTTAACCCAAGTTAACCTAATCTTACCTGCTTTTAACCTAACTTAACTTTAACTGTGCGTGTGTGTGTGTGTCTACAAAGTTGCACGTATATCAAGCAGTGGTCCTGCCCACCCTACTAAATGGCAGTGAGACATGGGTCACATACAGGAGGCACCTCAAGGCACTTGAAAACTTTCACCAACTTAGTCTACGTTCCATCCTCCGAGTTCGCTGGGAAGACAAGAGATCAAATGCCAGTATTCTTGCCGACACCAACTGGAGCAGCATCGAGGCTACCATTATCCATGAACAACTACGCTGGACTGGCCATGTTACCCACATGGACGACAGTAGACTGCCAAAGCAGCTACTTTACAGTCACCTAACGAATAGTAAACGTAACGCTGGCGGGCAACTGAAAAGGTATAAGGATAGTCTTAAGGCAAACCTGAAAAGTGTCAAATCGACCCCCTCACCTGGGAGACGATCACTCCACACAGTAACGCTTGGAGGAGCACCACACAAGAAGGTGTCAATACTTTCGAGTTAGCCCGACTGCATAGCGAGGCAGACAAGCAGTGGATATAGCCCCCTACACGTGCAACATCTGTGGACGACCCTGCCGGTCCCGTACCGGCTTCTCTAGTCACCTCAGAGCTCACCAATGAAGGTGACATCCTTAATAACTCATATTATTGTATCATAGCTGGATGATCGTCATACTCGATTCAGAGTGACAGCAAAGTAGTAGTAGTGAGTGTGTGTGTGTGAGTGTGTGTGTGTGTGTGTGTGTTTGTTTTAACGTAATCCAGCCTAACCTAAATTAACCTGTCCCAAACTGCTGTCTTGTTGTAAATCAGACAGCACCATCACTGTACACTGTTCCCTCACCAGTGTAAACTACTGGTAAATTTAGAGTTTAGGTACAGCTGTTGTGTGTACCCCTCCCTCCAACACATTCCCTCCCTCTACACCCTCTCCTTCCAACACCCCTCCATGTAAATCTACCCTCCACCTCTCTTTCTGTCAGATCCTCCCCTCCACACACCCCTCCACGCCCCCCCCCCATCACCCCCCTCCGAGCCATTATTAACTTGTAAGGGCAGATTGGGAGGGGGTGAGGGGGGGGAGACGCGCCCCCTTCACAATCAATACTGGAATAAAAAGCTCCCCCCCTCCCCCCTCCTCCGTGAAAGTGAGGGTAGCAGCTCTCCCTCAGCCTCCACCTACCTCTCTCTCGCTGGTATCTCGACTACGTTTTATAAGGGTGCATGGTTGTATGACAGTGTTGTGTATGCTCGTATGACTAATGGGTGTACGATCGTATGGTTTATGTATGGATGTATGCCTATGAATAGTCAATTATGTATGACTTGTCGTGTATAGTTGTAGTAAGCGATTGGAGTCTTGTGTAAAGTTATGTATGATTCACAAAACACCTGTGTATGTTTGACCATTGTATCAGTTGTGTGTATAAGTATGATGGACGTTTGTATACATTGATTATTCCGTATATGTATGGCAGCGTGTATAACTCAAGTGTATTTCCCTTATACATATTCACTGTGTATTTTCAGATTATACATTTACTTCTCCAATACACTGATGTCCTGTGTATGACTTACAATAGAGAGATCAATATACACTATACAATTCATACACATACTTCAGAGGAGGAGTGTATGAGAGAGAGAGAGAGAGAGAGAGA